TCCAGTTCTAGGTCCTCAGCTTGCACCTGCGCTCAACTCTGATGAGCCGGGAAGCCGCCTGTGTGCGAGGAGAGCCTGGCGCTGGCCCAGCTGGCCCCCCGCTCTCACGACTGCGGCCCTCTCGCGCTTCACCCTTGAGTGTCCCCAGGGTGCACGCCGCTGGGAGGACGGCTTCCTGGCTGGGTCACACAGGGCCCTGGCGCTGGGAGGGGTGTGACTCTGATGACTGCCGGCTGCAGCTCAGGGGTGTACTTAGCTTTCACAGAAACTGAAGGAGACCCCAGTCAAGTGTTAGCTGATGATGTAAAGTTTTTATTTATGACAGATTGTATCAGGACTTTGGCTATGTAACTCAGAAGGTTTCACAGAATCAAGTTACATCCTAATAAAACTCCATCCATTTCCACGCACTTAATTTATGAACAAGGTTTCTCAGTGTTTGCATAAAAAACCCCAAGATGGGAATAGAACTGGTGCTGGTCCATATCTCTTTCCAGCAGTAAGTGATCATCCATGGGCAAATGAACTCATTTAAAAAAACCTTCTCCATAAGAAAACACTATTTCAATGACAGCATTATGTAATGTAGTCACCATAGGGTGACTGTTTTAAAAAGTACACACGTCCAGTGCTCACACACACACACACACACACGCGCATGCATACTGTATACTGGACAGTATAGTGTAACACAAAGAAAACCTCAAAAACAGCATTAACTGAAGATTAAACATTTAAAAAACACTGCCTTAAGATATACATTGTCAAATAATAATTAGCATTTTGTAATTAATTTTTATTGAAAACTGTAGTATGTTGCCATCATTTGTGAACTCGTAGAGAATTCGTAACATCCTGATAGATTAATAGTTTTAGATGTTGAGGCAATTGTTGTTATTTGTGGTAACTGCATTCTACAAGGGCCCCATGACCACTGAATTAGCAGTAACTGAACCACCGTTCCTAGAGAAATACAGGGTTAGTTTCCTTTGAGACGGTGGTCATGACATTTGGTCAACTAATCAATACATAATCTTGTTTTGGGTATGTTTCTGTTTACAGATGGCTTATTAACATATATTTGTATATTTACAAATAATTAACATGCGTGTATCTTCATAAGAAAACACTATTTCAATCACAGCATTATGTAATGTCACCATCGGGTGACTGTTCTAAAAAGTACACATGTCCACTGCTCACACACACACACATGCATACTGTATACTGGACAGTACAGTGTAACACAAGAAAGAAAACCTCCAAAAGTGTTAACTGAAGATTAAGCGTTTAAAAACGTACAGAAACTACCTCACTGTTGGTGGAGCTGTGTGACATGTGGCAGGGCAGTGCACGGTGTGGTGACACCCCTCAATGTTGGCGTGCCCCTTGGAAACTTGTCCCTGGTGGCTCAGCTGGTAAGGAATCCACCTGCAGTGCGGGAGACCTGGGTTCTATCCCTGGGTTAGGAAGATCCCCTGGAGAAGGGAACGGCTACCCACTCTAGTATTCTGGCCTGGAGAATTCCATGGATTATGGGGTCACAAAGAGTCGGACACGACTTCTTTTTACTTCACTGGAAACTGAAGGAAAGTGGTGAAGCTCCCTGGGCAGGAGAGGAAGACATCAAGGAGGGTGGCCTGGCAGCCCTGCCGCAGGAGTTTGGCCTTTACAGGTTGGTGATGGTGTCAACAACTTTCCCTCCCAATCTGACTTGAAATAATTGCTTTAACTTTGTCCACTTGGCTTTTTGCCTCGTATCTTTATGTGTTTTGGCATAAGAGATGAATGCAGTTGAGGCAAGGTGCTTAAATATGAGGCTGCATTTGGGCACAGGGTCCCTATTTTCCATGTCATTGAAAATTTCTTCCAATGCTGAAGGCCATTCCACCATCTTGGCTGCTGTAAGAGGGACGATTCTTGCAGTCTCAGGCTGACTTGCACTGCCATCCTTATCGCTGAATTCGACACCTCATTCTGCCATCTCATCTGAGTCTTGGTAGGTTCTGCCGTTGTTTCTCCCCAAATTTCCTCCCTGTTGCCTTGCCTGCCTTCATGTTATGGAAACCCTCTCCACTCATTTGTTGTGCAATATGCATTATGTTTTTGACACTATTTTTCATTTTTTCTGTGACATCTTAAAAACTTCCAAAATTTTTCAGTTTGGCCAAATGCTTCCCCAACAATTGCTGATGGTAGCCTGTTTGATGCTGTCCCAGGCTGTGCTGATATGATCAATAATGTGTATGGTGACTGACTTCCAGTACTCCAGTATGGTGGTCTCCTTGGTGCTGAGAGCCTCTAAAGCCTGGCTTAAAGCTCCCTGGCATAAGGTGCCTTGAAAGCTTTTATCATGCCCTGATTGAGGGCTTGGATGAGAGATGCCATGTTTGGGGGTATGAGGACAACTTCTATGTCAGGGTGGGCATTTTTGAGCTCCTAACAACAATGAACTGGGGCGTTACCCAAGATTAATAAAACCGTGAAGGCAAGGTTTTTGCCATGGAGATAGCGTTCAGCTTCTGGGAAGCAGTTGTGGAAACTGCTTCCACAGAAATATTTCAGATGCCATCCATGCTTTTTTGTTCCATCTCCAATGGACTGGCGTATGGTTCAAGGTTTTCCCTCTGAATGCTCGTGGGTCTTATGCTCTGTGTACCATAAGGGGTTTTCTCTTAAAGTCACCCTTGGCGACTGCACCTAATAGCAAGGTTACCCAGTCTTTGAATGATTTAAAGCCAGGAGCTGTGGGGGCCATTTGCATTGCACAGGTTCACTTGCCAGCATTCTTGTAAAATAAGCCAGTTTCATCAGCACTGAAAACCTGCTCTTCTGTATAACCCTATTAATATATAACACTTAGCAGGTATTTTCTAAACCCTTCTGCTGCCTCCCGACCTGTAGAACCTGGCTTGCCTGAAACTCTAACGTTTTTCATGTGGTATCACCTTTTGAATTGCACAAGCCAACCTGCACTAGCTGAGAAGGGTTTAATACTGTCTTGGCCCTGGGTAAGATGACTGTACATTTCTTTGGCTTTCAGCCTCACAACAATGCTGTCTACTATGCTCTTTTTATTGCTTGTCATCTCATGAACCCACAAATTTAGTTGCTTTTCCATCTTTCCCACAGCTGCATCACACACTATAAAGGTTACTTAAGCACTTTCCAGATGGCTTCATGTAATCTCCGAATATCTTCTTCCTTTTTCTACATGTACTGTATTGACTCATTAATGTTGACTTTGGGGCCCCTAGCGCTATAACTCAGGCTTGAATGAAGTTTATCTATCACACGTATTTTCTCTGTAAGGCACATCACAACCTTCTTGTGCTTAGTAACACTGGACAGTTCTTTAGCACTATGCTTGGGGGCCATTTAAAATAGTGAAATCACCAAGAAAAAAAAAAAAGTGAAAAATGTGGCACCAGTAGATAGCGGAAAGGACATTTGCTTCCATTAAGAGCTAATGTAAGATGGCACAGCATGACCTTATTCACATTCAGCTGGGAACGTGTGCATAAGGAAATGCAAATTTCTTGCTGCTTTGCACATTTATAAATGGCTGAGAAAGTGCTGCAAATACGGATTTTGTGGTTACACATAAATTTTATCGAGTAGGCCAATTTGCAAATACGGAATCCATGAATGAGGACTGACTGTGTTGAGGGAGTGTGAGGAAGGAGTAGATGGGACTGGAAGGCAGCTTTGGTTTTGCTGTTCCACTGGAAAAAACAAATCTGTTCAGTATTTGAAGGCAAACATGTTGGCACTTCTCTAGGAATGTTTAAACTTTAGGGGTAAAAAAAAGTCTCATTTCTTCCATCTTTGCACTGCTTAACACCCTGGTTTTCTTTTGTAATTTTAGAAGCCCTAAGCACTTTGACATGAAACCACAGTATTCCTGACAGAGGCCTGATGGAATGTCGAGATTTCACACTAGAGGACAGAAGGACAAAAATGTCTTGAACGTCCTGAATGCTCGAATTCCCGATGACACTTCAGTGTAAAAAGCCTTCATGTGTAGTTCAGAACAACAAAAAGCTCTTCTGAAGTCTCAGGCTTCTCCCTTGATTGTTCTGTGTAATTGGTGCTGTTCTTGGTTTCCTTCGTTTCTTGCCGTGGCAGGTTGTTAGTAACTCCTTACCCGCGTGGCGGTGGCCTTTACAGCTCTGCCTTGGACCAAGCACAGAAGGTCTGTCTGCGTGAGCCCTCACCGCTCCTCTCCTGAGATGGAGGCTGCAGTTTCCACCATTTGTCTCCAGCAGCCTTCGCGCTGACGAGTAACAGGCTATTTTGGTTAATCATTGATGAAGCACATGGTCCATATTTAGGAGAAGAAAACATTCCGCTTTAATCCCAACATGCATAATTTACGTTGTTAATTAGTTTAAATCATCTATTAGAATTCTAGCCCCCACCCCCCCCCCCCGCCCCCGGCTCGAGGGGGCGGGGAAGAACTGAAGAAAAAACAGGTTCTCGCCAGCCCCTTCGTTGTTGCTTGAAGCGGCGGAGGTCAAGCTTTCCCGGGTCCCCGCTGGGTGGGCGGGCTGCGTCCGCGGGACCGCGTCGGGGAAAAGCGTTAGCTTTCGGGGACGGAGGAGTCCGCGCCTGGCCCGTGTCAGGTGGGCTGAATCGGAAGCCGAGGGCCAGGAGCCAGGCGAGGAGGCCGCGCCAGCGCGGCGGAGACCGGAAGAGGTCGCGTGCGGGGGGCTGGCCGGGGCGCGGTCTGAATACGTCACTTCCGCCGCCGCTCCACTTCCTGGTGAGGGAAGGGGCCTGAGGAGATTGGTGCAGCCGGGAGGAAGGAAAAAGGGTGAGGAGAGGCGGCGGCCGGGCGCGCGGGCGCCGGCGGGGCGGCCAGGGTCGCGCCGGGCCGCCAGGGCCGCCCGGCCTGGTTGCGTGAGGGGCGGGCGCGCCCGCGGGGGCCGCGGCGGGCTCGCCTCGGGGCGCGCCCGCGGCCTGCGCGCCGCGCTCAGCGCCTGTGCTCTCTGTTGCAGGTCTTCCCGGAGCCCCGGAGCGAGGGCGAGTGCCTGAGCAACATCCGCGAGTTCCTGCGAGGCTGCGGGGCGTCCCTGCGGCTGGAGGTGAGGCCGGGGCGCGGAGCGCGGGCGCGCGGCGCCCAGGGGCGAGCGCGGTGTCGGGGCGGGATCGAGCCCCGCGTCTCGCCCTCCGCGACGGGGAGAGGGGCTCTGCTGGTTCGAGGTGCCGGTGACAGCGCTCGTTCCTCAGGGGCGCTCTTGGGTTCCTTGGTCCCTGCCTCAGCCTCCTCTCTGCCCTGGGGATGCTCGGAGGCCCTGCATGCGGGCTCGCGAAGCCCAGGCAGGTGTCAGGCCGGGCCCGGAGAAAGAAAACGGGCCCCTCGTCCTCCTCGATGCGCTCCTAGTCTCCCTTGGGCTGTAGGTCAGCTGGCTCTCATTCTGACTGGACGTTTAGGTCAGAGACGTTAAGCTGCGTCGCGGGGAGCATTCTGGGCGGGGATGTCGTTTCCACGTTGCTCAGGATTTTGCCTCTACGCTAAGTACAGTCTTTCAGCGGCGTCTCCCTGGAAACTCCTTTTTCCCGTATGTGGGTACCCCCCCCCCCCAATCCTGGGGTGGTGCTTTAGATCAGAAATGCGGCTGCTTTGTGTCTGTTAGGGGTTTAAATCTTGCGTCTTCTCCGTGTGGCTTTAGCACTCTCTACCTCTGTTTCCTGATCTGAGTGCTGAGGTGAATTCTGCCAAGCTCCTAGGCAGCAGCGTATGAAAGCATCTTCAAAGGAACCGCGGTGGGTTCTCATCCTGAAAGGGCAGCCTCTTCGGTTTCTTGGGAAGTAAATCTGGAAGCCGTCAAATCTGAGGAAGATTCTACGGAAAGCTTATCTGTTGGTACTGTTTTTTATCAACACTAAGTTGATGGGGTTTGGTATCTGTGAGGAAATCAGACTCAGGCGATTCCGGAGCAGAGATGTTGGCAGTTCAGGAGTGGGAGAGACATTGTTTCAGAAGGGTCCTTTGCTTTGCTGGGTGAGCTTGGTGGTTTTTCATCGAAGTCCCCTGTCAGGCTGTGATAATGAATGTTTGTGGCAGTTTTTTCTTTTTCTTGGTTGTTGTGGAATTTTATTATCCTTTCCAAACTATTCAGGTGTTTTGGTTTTAAGGAGAGAATTGTTTCAAAGAAAGTTGAATTAAAAAAAACAAAAAACCCATTCTTAGTTTTCCAAAGGTTACTGTTGAAATTTATATAGCTACTGTTTTTTAAAATTAAGAGCTTATTTAAAGATGTTCTAGAAGAGACTTTGTTCACTAACACATCCTAAGCATCTAGAACAGTGCTTGGCATTTCGTAGGCCTTCCATAAATGCTTGTGATTGGTTGACCTTGAAGTTGTAGTTGGTATCAGATGTTTCACTTTATGTACAAAAATCAATTTTGACTTATTTTGTGCAAATTTTTAAGAATATCTCTTCTAGTAAATTTAATATAGAGACAAGTTTAGTTAACATTCTTTCAAGCTCCATTATAAGTTGTACTTAAAACTTTCAATTAAATGAGAGGTAATAATAATAATAAAGCAGATCAGAAAGCCCATACATTGTTTATAAGCATCTAAGAAAGGAACTCTGTGTGGTATGGACTCAAGGTGGACTTCCAGACTTGTTCTCATCCGTGATGTGAAGGGACAGGCTTGCTTTCTGAAAGACAGCCTCACACATGCAACACAAGTGTGGCCGTTTCCCAGGGATTTTAAAGAAAAACATGTGAAAGGGAGTGAGCAGAGAAAGGCTTTGTTCTTTTGAAATACCTGTAGCTCCGTGTGCTTTGTTTTCGCAAAATCCTGGAAGAGAGATTGACAAAAAGCTTTTGAAATTACAAATGTGAAACCCAAAATTGATAGCTTGAATTCTAGATTAGCATTTTCTTTATGTAAAGGGTCAAGGTGCTTTTTTCCAGAGGTTTAGACTGAAGTGTGTTTGTAAGAGACTGCTTATTTTTGGTATATGTATTTTCTTGTTTACCACCGTTATAAATTATTCACAGATTTCTTAAAGGAAAAGAGGAATGGAACATCGTAATCACTTTATCAGTTATTTTCTTGCGTACACATCTTAATACAGTGTGAAAATCAAGTATTATCCCTCAGTGAGTGGTTCTGATCATGAACGGAGTTTTAATTTTAAAGGACTGGTGTACAGTTTGCATTTATTGTTAAGCTTTGAAAAACAATTTAGGTTTTAGGTTAGAAAACATTTTGAAATTTGGAAAATGTAAAAATTTATTGGAAAATCATACTTAACAAAACAGCCTATGTGACTTTGATCTTTTCATTTTGCTTACGATTTTTTTTGCTACCCAGTAAGCATCTTATTTGACTTTTTTTGTTTCCTTCAATAGTGTGGAATTTGATAAGAATTTAGATTTTTTTCCTCATGTTTCTAATAGTGTAATAAGCATGTAAAGTAATGCTATTTAGAATTATGTATGCCTTGATAATGAAAGTTGGAACTTTCCTGGAAAGTTGAGTTTGCTGATGAAAGGAGCCAGGCACCGTGAGTGTCTCCAGCTCGAGAATGTTGTGTCTGGAAGCCCTCGTTCACCTGGTGCATGTGGAAGGACAGCACTTGTCCTGGTCGTTGTGAGAATGTTGCTCGTGCTGACCCAGCCCTGTGTGTGGCTCTCCCGTCTCCACCTGGCGCCTGATCGCCGCTGGGCAGCGTGCTGCCTTCTGTGGTTTGACCTCCTTGAGGACGCGCCTGTTGCCTTAGTTCACTCCTTAGTCTGCTGCGTTGGCCCAGCCCTCCTCGTCTAGGAAGGAGCCGCGGTCTGACATCGGTTTTCGCTCTTAACCCTGTGAGTGTTCACTGCAGGGCTGCTGTCGGCCTTGTGAAGGAACACTGCAGAGGTGGTGGCTCGGCAGGTGCTGGGCAGCGGGGGCGGGTATGAGGGTCCGGGTTCTGGAAGTAAACAGAAAGGCTGGCAGGGCCGTGTGGGCCCCTGGGGGGACCGGCGGCGGGGAGCTGGGGCGCGGGGCTGGTGTTGGCCCTACAGGAGGTGCTTGGCGCCGCTGCAGCCTCCTGGAGGAGCAGGTGGTGAAGGTTAGGGACGCAGCACCCCTCGCTGTGCACGCCTCTGAGTGGTGAGTGAACCGTCCGCAGCTGCAGACTGTCGCCTATCTGGAGTGACCACGGCCGAGCCGGAAGGGGCAGGGGGATGTCAGGGAGTAACGCCCTGGATGCTCACGAGTGCCTGAAACCAAAAGGAAACCGGTCCCTGGCGGTGGGACCACTCAGGGGGACGTGTTCTGACCTCACTCTGTATGACTGTTTGGGTGGCATGTTGACTCTGGTGTTGGTTTCACAGGGTGAAGGGTAGACACAGCTGTGGGTCTGTGCTGACTTTGTTGTCTTACTTCTTACCTGTGAACAGGTTTGTATCTGTTAACCGAGTCGTTACTTTCTCAGCCCTCTCCACCTGTGTCACCCTCAGCGGCAGCTGGCCGCTTCAAGGAGTGATATTTTACAGGAAACCGAGTGTGTCTCATGTCACCAGGGTCCAGGTCCTTTGTCCTTGTCGTGGGATTGAGTGAATTAGTGTTTAGCACTTAGAACAGCACCTCATGTATATCATGTGCTAAGCAGAGAGTAGCTGTTATTATTATCATTTTCTTGTAGTTTGAACAATGCTGGTAGGCATTTAAAAAAATACTTTACCCCATAATCCATATTCAGTTATATAAAATTCAAGAAATGGAGAAATGTAAGAGGAAAATAATTATATAATGATGCCATTTAGAGATAACCAGCAGAGAAGGCAATGGCACCCCATTCCAGTATTCTTGCCTGGAGAATCCCAGGGACGGCGGAGCCTGGTGGGCTGCCGTCTGTGGGGTCGCACAGAGTTGGACACGACTGAAGCAACTTAGAAGCAGCAGCAGAGATAACCAGTGTGAAATTTGGTGTATATTTTTCAGCCTTTCCCCCCTTTGCATATAAATACGCTTTTAAAATATCCATGACATCATGGTATACATGATGTTTTAAAATGTGCTCTAACTTGCCACAGTGACTGTTGTGTGAAACGTCTGTCGTGTTGTTTTTGACGGCGTCCTAACGGTTTGTGGTGCTCCTCCTCGGTTTTGGGTGTAGGGGTTGTTTCGAGCCTTTCTTGCTGTCAGCAGTGACCTTTGATGCCCGTCGCTGCACAGGATCCCTTGTCCCTGATTGCCTTCGAAGGAGGTGGTGCCTGATGTGGCCGTGCATCAGGGCGGAGGTGGGGCTTTTGCAGGCTTTGAGCACCTCTGCCGGAGTGTCTCCAGAGATGTCTTGTCCCTTTGCCTTGCCATCAGCAGTGTGTGTGAGAGCACGTGCCTCTGTAGTCCAGTGGCTCCTTCCTGCTACCTGTCGTTTCTCTTGCCTTCAGGCTAATGGAACCCTCCTGGGGTGGACATTCTAGTGTTCTTACATCACCTGCCGTGCCTGCCTGTCTAGGTAAATGGTAAACTGAAGCCGATGTGATGTACTTGAGATTTCCTGCACTGGACCTGGGAAGGAGGATGTGAAAGAAAAGCTGCTGGAGTAGGAAGTAGAAGTTGAGAGCCTCAGACGTTTGTGGTGCTGTCTTCCATCTCTCTCACAAGTAGCCTCTGGCCTGGTGCTGGCTAGGGGTGTTCTGGGGCCACTCTGTAAAGGGGGCGCTCTGGCTGGAAGTGAGTTTGGAGACTGTGTGCCAGGGTGCCCGTTTCCTGCTGTGTGAGTGGCGGAGCTTTGACTTTCTCCCTGCAGAGAGAAGGGAAAGGCGTCAGTAGGGCCCTCCAGGGTTGTCATCAGCTGGGCTGATGAGCTGATGAGGTGGGGAAAGAAAGCACCTTACGTCTTTCTGAAATCCTCATCTTCCTTGTGTATTTCTGGAGGGCAGATTCTTTTACTAAACTTCTTTGTCCTCATGCCCAGTTCTCGTCTAGATATTTAGCAAGGTTGTGATTGAGATTTTGTCCAAAACTATTTAAAAATACTGTTGAAAGAACTAAAACACACTTGTGTGAAAACTTGAAACTTGTTGATGTAGGCTTCAGAATTAATTGAAACAAAGACAGAAGTGTATAGTTCT